GAGGGTCTGGACATTGGCGTCCTGGGTGCGTCTTCTGCGTATATACCATATTCACTGCTGTACTAATCTCTATCTCCTATCAAAACCCTGTCTCGCTGGTATACCCCCCCTCCCCGCAGTCAACAACGCCGGCAAGTCACATGAAATGCCCACCGACTTTGCCGAAACTACAAAAGAAGAGATGGAGGACATACTCGCGATCAATACCAAGGCTGTCCTGCGTATCACGGCGATTGTGGCGCCCGGTATGATCCAGCGGTGCGTCTCTACGCCTCTCCCCCCTCGTATATCCGTCCTTACTTTTTATCCCTTTCATCATTTTCCCAACTCTCCCCCACTGCTCTCTTTCCACAACTGACTTTACTCTGACCCACCCTAACCCTGACCCATCTCAGCAAACGCGGCCTCATCCTCAACATCGGCTCCTTCGCGGGCGCCATCCCCTCCCCCATGCTCGCGACCTACTCCGCCTCCAAAGCCTTCCTCTCCACCTTTTCCAGCGCGCTCGGCGCGGAGCTCACCCCGCACGGCATCACCGTCGAGCACGTCAACACGTACTTTGTCGTGTCGAACATGTCCAAGATCCGCCGCGCGACGGCGCTCATACCGACGCCGGGTGCGTTCGTGCGCGCGGTGCTCGCCAAGATTGGGTGCGCGTGCGGCGCGGCGGGGACGGGGCGCCCGGGCACGAGCACGCCGTTTTGGAGCCATGCGCTGGTGGATTGGGGGATGAATGTGGTGGGGTGGACGGGCGGGTTCGTGGGGTATACGCATGGGCTGCATAGGAGCATAAGGAAGAGAGCACTTAAGAAGAAGGAGAGGGAGGCAAAGAAGCAGTGAGTCGCTGTTGAGGCGGGAAGTGGCGGAGATAGCCTTTGCGCTAGACTGGGCAATTGGGCAAAATGAGCTGTTTGGCGTCGTCGAGTTGGCCATGGCATGTGAAGCTATTGGTGCACTATAGACGAGGATGCTCAGTTCCTTTGTTTATAATGATGCTTTCTTGCTCTCCTGGCACGTGGATGGCTACTATCTGCCATTCAGATGGTGGTATGAGCGAAGCTGAAGATACAGTTCAATGATTCAAGTTGGATGCACCATCTTTGTCTCTTCTCCAGGTCCATAGATTGTAGCCGTGACTCCTCTGCTGCCATGGACACAGTTGTGAGGTCGTGAATTTGATGCAGCGCCATGTGTTAACGTGCGATCTGCGGGTGTGCGATGCAAATTGACAGGCGGAGCGCACTTCATAGAAGCGAGTGGCGACTAGTATATAGTAGACGGATCCGAGTGTTCCTCCCTGCCCCTCAGTCATTTCGTACATGGCTGAGGTGAGTCCGAGAACCGTTTGTAACACATGAGCTATCCTGATCATAGTACCTTAGCATCACATTGTAAAGGTACATAGATCAAATTCAAGTCATTTTGTACACGGCTGAGCATCACATTGTAAAGTTTCTACACCATGCCAGTGATGTATGTATGAACCTTTCACTTACACTATCAGTGCTGCATGCAGTTAGGTGTAACTTGCTTGGGATAGTTATGGTACGGTACAATTTTGATCAATTTGTCACCCCTTATTTTGTCAAATTACTATATATGGTGCAAAGTGTCATCACAGATGCCAGGTTCTAAGGTCCAGGGGCCTCTGTGACCAGATCAAAGGCATACAGTAATAGCTTCAACACAAACCAGCCTATGATGATCATATGCTATCTCGAGGATTTAGAGGATCTTTTCAAAATGGCATCTATTGCAGATGAGGACAGTTTGATTTTTTGAGACAGCTCACGGTCGCATTGTCACATCCATCGGGAAGGTGTCTGGGACCACACATAAATGGCCCTCTTTGGGAAACATTTATACAAATATGGAAAATGGTTGGCTGGTGTACGGGGCCTGGGTTGTTTGATTGTTTTCCTCTGCTCACCCCCCCTCTGCCTATATTGCACTGATTTCATGGCCTCTTCCTCATCTATGAAACCTCAGCCTTGTCTGGAAGATAAAAGAGATGTTCTGCCCTCTGGACAACATATTCCCGGCCAGGGCTTTTCATTCAAAGTCAATGAAGATGAACTGAAAGGCTACTCATATACTGTTGTCAACTGCAGAATTTATGCAACATGTTTCACTGGCAGTGGACCCCCAGGTGGCATACTGGGACATCTGGGGGATGCATATGTGGATGTTAGAGGGACTAAGCTATGGGGGAAGGTTGGAATGAGCCAGTGGAAGGAATGGAGCAGTGTTGATAACTCAGGTCCTGTATGTGTCTATCACCCACATTTCCCAAGACATATTCTCTTTGTGAACAAGGAGGGAAAAGTGGTCTGGACATTGCCTAATACTGTAGGGAAGTGGAGACGGAACATTGAGGGGTGGTGTCATGAGAGACAGGTGCAATTGTTGAGGCAACATTACCCTGACCATCATGATGTGAGTCAGTCAGAGATATTGGATGATAATTGCCATGGTATGTTATGGTGTTTTCATCAGTGTTGAGCCCACTATTCATGCTTAGAACTTCAGCTATTGCAAATGATGCTATAAACACGCTATCTGCACCATGCCTCTGTCATTCCTCAGATCCACAGCTATTCCTTAAGGCATCAGGACATCCTGAGACCCATCCTGAAGCCAATAAATTTACTCTCAGACCAGTGACCAGTTGGTCCAACAAATACAGCAATAAACCTTTGACCAATGTGACGCTTCCCATCCATATTTCGAGCTCAAATAGGTCTATTCCCACACCCTCTGATGGGTCTGAGACAATTTGTGACGATATATCACCTCAGTGCTACTATTGTGAGTTGTAATTGTCTTAGTTGTGGCCAACAAGCTGAGCATCGCTGCTTTTGTCCCACACTCCCTGACAGTTCCCCATACCCGCACCTCTGGCGACTCAGCACTGCACCTCCTTGCAGATACTGCTGCCATGCAGCTTTAGAAATTAGTCCTGGCATGCTTCAGCAAATTGGAAAATCCCAGTTCATGGTGCTCCTCGTCCGAGTCATCACAAAAGATGATGCTGTGCTGTCGAAGGAGAGGACAGCTGGCAAAGCTCAGCCCGGCCATCTCAGGTCACAAGTGCAAGGTGGGGAATCCCTTGGACTCGGACACAATTTGAATTTGGTTGTTTGAATCGGTGTCTGCTTTGCTCTGTTATCTACGTTCTTGTTGTCATTATCGATCTATAAATCATGCGCTGAATGTGTTGGAACCAGATCAGTAGTCGATTGGAAGACCCAGCCCACCTGGTCCGCGTGGACATGAGCTGGAGAAATGCAGCATCACCTTGGCGGACGGCGGACGGCAGACATATTCCTCAATCTCCTTCTCTGGCACTCTCCCAGCGCTGCTCCCATCGAAGCTGTTCTTGAGCGCGGGCTTGATTCATGACGCGACGAGATCGTCCGCGAGGGATGTCGAGATGTCGATCTGCGCCTCGGTGTTGACGCCGACGTCGTCCGCGTCCATGGACGGGGCTGGGAGGGAGAGGAAAGGGAAGGGGAGGTGGAGGAGCAAAAGAAGGAGGAATAGGCAAGCAAGCACTGCAGCATTTTTGCGTTGAAGAGAAGATTGATTCACGATAACAATCCCGTGTTCGGGCAAGGAGAGCAAAAAACGTCGAGTTTTCATTTAAGTAGCAAGCATTGCGAAGTTGGGATGAATGATGGTACAGACTGGTGTACAGGGATATTCTGCAAGAACTACTAGTAAGACCTCATATGTCCCCATTCCTTTGATTTTAATCAATTTTCGCTACTATCACGCAACATCCACGAGTCGTATGACGGTCGACAAGGGGGGCAGACTGCGACCACTGGCGGACGAAGAGTACTGCAATACATAGGCAGAGACCCGGTTCGACTCGGGGCGCACGAAGGTTGGTCGTACAAGAACGTAGATGTTCTGTCAGAGTAACATCAAGAGATTCCATCCTGGAATTATTTGGAAGAAAGGCCAGACAGCTTTGACAAAGTGGTCGGGCACCAAGGCGCAATTCCAGGCGTTGAAGGTATAAAACCGGATTGGGACAAGAGAACGGAAAAAGTTGTGTTGTCAATACCGTCGAGATCCCGGTCAGATGCGCTGCCGCAGAATCGGTGGCAACAGAACTATATGCATACTTGTAGAATGCCGGAGCGACATAGCGAGCTAGAACCAGCCTGATAGCGACCTATCTTGATCCTGGTGGCAGGCTCTCAGGGACTGATGACTAGTTGCGTAAGACCCCGTCCGCTGAGGATGGACCTTGAGGCCCTCAAGGTCCAATGATGGTCTCATCGGAAGCGATAGATTTGCCGACCAGCGGTTGGAGCAGAGCAGATCTGGCGTTGGAGACAGCGAAGAATGGGAGCGAGGACTAACAGAAGTTCGAGCCTGGAGTTGAAAACTGGTCAAACGGGTTCCGGTTTCACGCAAGTATCCTTAACGTCTTGAGCGCTAGGCTTGACAAGGATCGGAAGATAGAGCCACTCAAGTGTTAAACATTGGAGTCGACGTGATCTCGACCTGGCAAATTACTAGTACTAGGAACATAAGCATATAAGCCCTGCAGATATTCACGGCGGCATTACACTTGCTTACGAATGAATCGGAGTGCATTGACATGATCCTCGCCCGAGCGGCGGAACGCCTCGTGGGCGCTCGCGCATAGCGCCTGTGGCACGGATAAATGTTTCACCGTTGTGTCTCGTACGAATATTGGCCCAGATACGTCGGCCGGGTGCAGACGCGGACAGAAGGTATCATCGCTGGCGAAAAACGCACTAACCACATCTCTGAGATGGAGAAAGCTTCGGGTGTCAGTTAACAGTGGAGCGGACAGGACGGCGATACACTCGATACTGAGTTGTGAACCCGCGCTGTTGACGGAGGGTTATCCGACGCAGAAACCGTTGACATTGAGAATACCATATCAGAGAGTCAGTAGAGGTCCATGTTAATTCGTCGCAAAGGGCAGAGAACAAAAAGCAATGTATGCAGTCAGAAGAAGGCCATACCAGGACTCGAACCTGGGTTATCGGAAATTTGGATTCAAAATCCGATGTGATAAGACCACTACACTATATGGCCGTGAAAGCCCTTGTTTTGTCAATGTACATTATGCACAACCTCTGAGGCAGCTGATAATGGACAACGGAGCATGGCGTGCAGCGTGCCAACGACCATGGCTCGAGTACCGTTCATAGGCCGTTTGTCCCCTCGCGAATACGCCGCGCTGGTCTTTGGGTTTCTGTTCATCGCGTTCGAGTTTGTGCTGCGCATCATCGTCTTGTTGCTGCCGAAAGCCGTCGTCGGCTGGTTCACCGACCACTCCCGCTCGGTCTACGACTATTTCGTCGGACCCCCAAAGGCCAAGTCCCCTGCCGCTGTCCTCAGCGAGCGCATCCGCCGTGCGCGCGACTTTGACGAGCTCTGCAGCATCTTCGGGTACGTCCCCGAGGAGCACATCGTCCTCACCAAGGACGGCTACCTCCTCAACCTCCACCGCCTCCCCAACAAGAAGGGCCAGAAGCGTGACAGGCCTGGCTGTAGCACCGGCAAGCCCGTCGTCTACCTCCACCATGGCCTCCTCATGAACTCTGAGATCTGGGTCTGCCTCACCGACGAGGAGCGCTGCCTCCCGTTCGTGCTGGTCGAGCACGGCTTCGACGTCTGGCTCGGAAACAACCGCGGGAACAAGTACTCGAAGAAGAACATCTACTTCAACTCTAACTCGCGAAAGTTCTGGGACTACAGCATCGATGAGTTTGCCTGGCACGACATCCCCGACTCCATCGACTACATTCTTGATACCACCAAGGAGCCGAGCGTGAGCTACGTTGGCTTCAGCCAGGGCACCGCCCAGGCATTCGCCGCCCTCAGCATCCATCCGCGACTGAACGAGAAGGTGAACGTATTCATCGCTCTCGCGCCCGCCATGAACCCGGAACGGCTGTCTGCGCCGGTCGTCGATGGTCTCGTGAAGGCCTCGTGAGTACTCTGATTCACTCCACTACCCCCGCTTACGCCCCCCCAGCCCCACCCTCATGTTCCTCTTCTTCGGTCGGAGATCCATCCTCTCCTCCGCCACCATGTGGCAGTCCATCCTCTACCCCCCAATCTTCTCCAAGCTCATCGACACCTCCCTATCCTTCCTCTTCGCCTGGCGCGGCGCGAACATCATGCCCACCCAGAAGATCGCCGCCTACGCGCACCTCTACTCCTTCACCTCCGTAAAGGCCGTCGTGCACTGGTTCCAGATCATGCGCAACGCCACCTTCCAGATGTACGACGACGAGCTCATCAGTCCCGTCCGCACCAGCAACAGCAGCTATCGCCCCGCTCGCTTCCCTACAAAAAACATTGTCACCCCTATTGTGCTTCTGTGGGGCGACAATGACAGCCTCGTCGACATCGACGCCATGCTCAGCCAGCTTCCCGACCACACCGTCGAGAAGCGCCTCCACGATTACGAGCATTTGGACGTTCTCTGGGGCAAGAACGTCCACTGCGACGTCATCCCCGAAGTCCTCGGCGCCCTCAAGGCCTACTGTAACAATCCCGATAAGATCATGGTCAACGGCATCAAGTCTCCGCCGCCATCGTCTTGACTTGTATCAACAACTATTAATAAAGTATCGGCAAGCGTCCCGCAGCATATACTACTAATACAACATAGTCATACTCTAATACCCCGACGGCTTCGCGTTCGACTTCGACGTGTCGTATGCTCGAATTAAACGCGCCTGATCTTGTCTCCCTGCATCCTCCGTCTGACTGAACGCGAACCCGCGATTACGCCGCATACGCTGCGTCGCACGCACCTTCTTGATCGCTTTCTGGAATCTAAATCAAGGTGAGAAACGCCAGGCGAGACGCGCGAGATAGCACGCACTGCTCCTGTCGTGGTCGGTAATCAGGGATATTGTACTTTTGCAGTTCCTGGATGATGTGATACGACAAGGGGTGGTACGTTCGGCGGTAGCTATCATACATGTTAGCATCGGAGCCTGGCAGTTGCAAAGAACACTCACTATTTCCAAACATAGTCTCGGGAGAGGCAAAATATCGGCACGAGGATGAGGGTGAAGTAAAAGACGGCATCTGTCCATAGTCGTGGTACAATCCCATAATATTCAGTCGAGAAGCCGATGGCTGGTGCCACAACAGCGTAAAGCGGGAGGAACAACATTGTAAAAATGAACGATCCGGGAATAGCGGCGACGGTGTACTTGGTCCAAATGCTAGAGGCGGAGATAGTCAGCGTGGTTTCACCAGAACAACCCGGACGTACTCTGAGATCAAAGCAGCCTTGCCTAGGACTGTTAACAGCACAGCTAGATACAATGTTGTGCCCCAGAACCAATGACCTGAGTCGTATCCCGTTGCTTGCTTCAGATCTCCCCAGAAGAGGATCACCGAGAAACCAAACAGAATCTGCCGAACTATGAGCTCGACTTCTGATGAAGGAGTGACGCGTGGAACCTACGACGCTGTGGTACAGAGCATTCGCGACCCACAACCAGAACGCTGTCTTGGTAAAGAACGTGTTCTTCTGCCCGAGCATGTACAGCTGGGGGTAACGGTCCAATATCCGCGCAGAGACGAATTGATCAAAGACACCAATGACTAAGGGTGGCAAGACCGTGAAGACGACATTGTAAAGTGAAAGGGTCCAAGATTCGTATGCGATTTGACCAGAGAAGTTATTGAAGAAGGAAAACTAGGGTCGCCGTTAGTTGATATCGAGAATTTACAACCCAAAACCCTACCCAGAACTGTGTCATGTACAGAACGATATTCTTATAGAATGAATCTACGAGTCAGATCTAGATCAGAATCGACTACACAGGATTAGGACTTTGACGCACAGAGGATGAGCTTCGACAATCGCCGGTAGCTCCATGCACCGTGTACTAGCAGCAATTTCTTCAGATATCGGAACTGCGAGATGGCCACATCGGCGGAACGAGCGGCTTGCAGGCCCTACGTAGGGTGCTCAGATTAAGCAGATCCGACTCAATGGACAGACGTACCTCAACACCAGAAATGCCGACACCGACGTGGGCAGCCTGAATCATACTGACATCGTTGGCGCCGTCGCCAATAGCGAGTAGAATGGACTTCTGGTTCTTCTTGACGAGCTTCACGACCAATGCCTTCTGCAACGGGGAGACACGACCTGGATGACCATTAGCTACGGAATGCAACCACTGCAGTTGGCGTACAGCATATAACGGCCTTGCACATGATTGCGAGCTCCAGGAACGTCTTCGAGAGTTCCTTCTCCAATGCGAATGTAAGACTCTTGCCGTCTACAAAAGGCATTGGTAATTGTGGACTGCTACATATAGGGTAGTCATACCGATAACCAATGCCAGATCCTCCAGTTCACCTGAATTGCGTTGGCTCTTGATAGCAGTAAGACGCTTCTCCAAGAATTCCTGGGTCGCTGCAGCAGTCTCTTCATTGACGATGACCTATCGGATTTCATTGAGTATCCAAGTCTCATGGAAATTAACAATGACTCACGATGTTCATTGATTCCGAAATGAGACGGCAGGACATCCCAATGTTGATCGCTGTTTCTTGACGATCGCCAGTCAGAACCCAAACCTGCACATGCCTCAGTAGAGCAACACAGCCCACGTAAACCGGGAACCGACCTTGATACCGCCCTGTTGCAGCGTGTGGATCGTATCCGGAACACCCTCCTGCAGCTTATCCTCGATGGCAGTCGCACCAAGTAGGAACATGTCCTTCTCGATCATTTCAGCAGCCGCATCCAAGGCTTCTCCGCGACCATTGATCGTCTGCGCAGCCTGATCATAAACCGAAGACCATTCCCGATACTCGGCTTCGGTGACGTCACGGTAGGCGATACACAATGTTCGTAATCCTTCCGTGGCGTAGTCCTGAAGTAAACGATGAGCTTCGAAGACTGCACACATGGAGCATTGCATACCTCGAGGTGTACGAGTGTCTTCTCTGTGTACGGTTGGTTCTTCCCCAGCCGCTCCAGAATAACCGTGTCGGCACCCTTACAGTAGAGCTTGATCTTCTTATCGGGTCCACGCACGAGCGTCGACATCCGCTTCCTGGTCGAGTTGAACTCACAGACATTGAGTATCTCATACTCCTGCGACTGCCCGCGGATATTGACAAACACCGATTTTGGCTTCCTCGTCTGGTCATCGCGAATGGAGACGTTAAGCGCCCGTTGGACTTAAAGTCGGACAAGCACACGCACATGGAACTGGAACCCGAGCAACTCCGCGCCAGCGACCAATGCGGCCTCGTCCGGGCTGCTCGCCTGGAATATCGTCTTCCCGTCCCTGATCTCCGGAATAACCGTGTGGCACACTGCCAGCAGCGTCAAGAACTCGTTCACCGTCACCGCCTCGCGGTCTCCCGCGCTCGCCTGGCTCGCATCCAAGAACGGGTTCACGTTCGCACCCGCGTTTGCGACCTGTCTGAGCTGCTCGAACGTGCGCCACCCGTCCTTCCCGTCCTCACCGCGCCGACTGTCGTCCACCGCCTCCGCGTACGCCGCTCCCGCAATGCTGCAGCAGCGGAACTCCATCTCGTTGCACGTGAGCGTTCCGGTTTTGTCGCTGAACACGTACTCGATCTGCCCGAGCTCCTCGACGAGCGACGACGTGCGGCACAGCGCGGGCGTGTCCGTCTTGGCGTAGTACATGTCGAGATCCGAGTTGATTAGCTGCGCTTGCTGGAATTTGACCACCTCCATGGTGACGATCAGAGAGATTGGGATGAGGTTGTTGTACAGGATGATGAAGGTCAGGATGTCTGCATGCCTGTCAGTGCGAGACGGTACGGGAATATGTGGAGCTTGCCTTCGATGAATCCCTTGGCTGGATGCGATATTAGTCAGGCATGGTAGACGTAGACGCGCGCACAAGGCTCACCTCGGTCACTGATGGAAGTGCCTTCCACGAGGTACCATTGCTGGCTAGAGAAGAACCACTGAGCTCCGGGTCAGCTACCACCTGTTTATCATATACTCCCAGCGCACCGTCCGAATGCTGCTCCCAATCGTAGACCCAATTGACAGCGCCAAAAGCAAAATG